TAGCCTCATGTCCAACCTTCTCTCTTTATCAGTCTTATTACTGACTTAGTGAGGTAAAGGAGTGCGTCGATGGCCAGGAACCGAACCCGGGACCCCATGCGTGGTTGGCGAATTCAAAAACATTTTTACTGTACGGTCTTGTAAATATGGCAGCTGTGAAGAAAACAACGATTTTCCAATTTGTTTTCATTCCTTGACCTTAAGGTTCCAATAGCTGTGGTGTTACCTTTACACGGTGGAGTTACTGACCCCACGGCAAACCTTCCCTCTTTTCCAAACTTATTACTGACTAGTACACTAGACAAGGTTTAGGAGTGTGTCAGCATGCAATCGAGCCGCTAGAAACGTCTGTCTTTGGCAAGCATTCTACCACCAAATCATAGACTCCTGTTCATATTCACCTCTCCGATTTTCCGATCGTAATGATTCGTATTCACTGATAGTCATTATTCATTCCTTTCTTTCTAAGTAGAATTTTGAGCTTTGGAGTCACGCCTGTGTTGTACTTAATTCTCTGCTATTACTTTCACCTGGCTTCATGACTGTCTACAAGCATATATTTTTTCGAAGCATGGTATCATCTATATCATCTTCAGACATACAACCAACCCGTCGTTTCACATTCAGATTCCACTCAACACCACGTCGTGTAATGTCACTCAACATTTTGCTCTGTATATCTCCAATCCATCTTCATTTCCTTTTATGTATATTTGTTAAGCAATAGATTTCTGCCTGTTTCTCCACCTGCCATATTTTATTGTTGCTTGTTTCCCCCTTCCGACTATCTGAACTTCGGTATCGACTGAAGACAGCTGTTGATGAAAGTCTACATCCATTTGAAAATGATTTGCATAACCCGCCAAATCTCTGAACTATATGGAAACATTGAGTTGGCATTAGTGTTACAAATTTGAATTTAATTCTTTGTGGAAAAAATTATTACTTCAGATTATTTTGTGACTCCTCACTGATGTATACACATTACCGAAGTGAAAGAGAAACGCTAAAAAACAACGTCTCGTCGTATCTGCTCTAAAATCTATTTATTTGGTTTCAATTCAATAGTCAATGAATTACGCTGTAAACAAGATCCTAGATAAAACAGTCACGAATATATATAAACGTTTAATATAGTGATCGATGTCCAGTCCGGAAATTCACCAATCAGAATTCGGTCCAACTAAGTGGTCAATTTTCAGTCCGGAAATAAACCAGTCAGAATTGGCCAACGTAAATGTATGCCTGCTGCTTTATTGATCATTATTACAGACTAATTGACGTATTCGTGGTGATATTTTGAATTATACACTGTTGCGTGAAAGGCGCTTTGTAGCTCACGTCGTTGTGCATTCTCGTGTAAGTAGTGCAGGTTGGGGAAATAGGACACTGTCCTACAATCTTGTTCGCGTAATCAAGCGACAGTCGTGATCAGAGCATCTGTGTTCAACTCAGCATCCCTATTTCAGCATCGACATATTGCAAATCATAACAGCTTTTTAAATTTAGATTTATTTAAACCTGAAAACCTTTTCCCTTTAAAAACAGTCGACTGTTTAGTAAAAAAATTAACATTTTAGATTCTTTTAAAGTATGTTCCATTTAGATTTTTCTTCATATTTTCAAGATTACCTTTAAAAATGTTACACATGGTGAACGCCGTTATGAAGAGAGAGAGAGGAAAAATTAATTTACCCTAACACAATAAAATCTAAATTTATATCACGCAATAATCTTCACATCATTTTAAAAATAATTGAACATTTATTTCAAATTCTTATTATTTTTTTTGTGTGGAGAAAAGATGTATGAGAGAGAAAGACAGGCTTATAAATCAACAAAAATAACAATAACATCATAAGTCACCTATTTTCCCTCTCTATCTATCCTAAAGAAGGCTGAAAGCATTCTTTAGCATGTTATCTAGTTACATTAAACATGTTAGTAAAAATGTTGTCATCACTATTAGCAATGACCTTGAAAGGTTGATGCGTTGATCAATGTGTCAATTTATTATAAATATGTATATTTTTTATCAACCTTGTTTACCGATAGATGATGATAGAGCTAAGTGTAAAAAATAAAATTAAAGAATTTAATCCCGTAATAGTTCATCTGTCATGAGGTGAATTTTATAATTGGTATAAGAGGAAAATATTTTAACAGTAAGGATAAATTTAAAAACGAAATATTAGAAACAATAGTTGTATTGATAGATATAACGACTAGTAACTTATGAAGTATTTAATTATATACTACTTTAAACAAATTGAATTCTTTGTGTTTTGTCTTGTTATGGAACACGTCAGATGGTTGTATCTAAATTACACAGATTGAGAATAAAAGCTGTCATGAGGTATTTTCGTGATGCACAGTGTGACAAACGTCACAACGGATGTTGTAGGTATGTAAAAAGCTGACGAAACACCATTAAAACAGCCAAAAATAACATTTTCGGCGGCCTACTTAAAACTTGGCTACCAAAACTTCATCTCTCACTGCATATATTTTCTCTCGTTCGGTTTGTTATAATTGGTTGAGATATGACCTCTATTGGTTTATCTACTCTTGTGTATATTTAGAATGTTTACATGCTTCTGATTCGCTAGTTCCTCCTAAACTTGAGGAATGGCGTGATTGTGGGTGGCAACGCGTTCCAATACATGAGATAACAGTTGGTATAGGATGGTTGGAGACAATCGGCAGGAAGTCTTCGACCTAGTTTTCCTGAAGGAACTCATGTACCTTCTAAGGTTCAAAGTCGTGTCACCCAGTGCTCCAGTCAGAGACGTAACCCCGGAGCTATTCCGGCACCCAATCGACCTCCTGTAGGACTACACTAGGTACTCTGATTGGACAATAGTCAGTGACTAGTGTGTAATGTATCAAGTCCTGCTTTTGGTGCAGACTGAATTCTATCAGTTAAGTTTGCAATGTGACCAACACTCACTAGTGCTCAATTAAATTACATGAGATAACTGTTCTTCAGTTAAGTCCTTGGACCTCAAAATTTACTTCCAAACATCTTGCAAATGGCTTTCAATTAGGTATCGTGTATTTCTTGAATGAGATAAAGTAGTTTTTTATTTGATTTTTGATTACAGCTTGATGCCACACCGTTTTTCAGTCCAAGTATGGAATTTTCAGCATGGATATCGGTAGCACAAATTTTGCAGGCGACCATAGATATCGGGTGTGCGTCGGCAGGGGATCGAAACCCGGACCATGTGCATGGTCGGCGAGAGTCCTAACCGTTGTGCCACAGACACACAAATGGAATGGTTTGTGCTTCAGCTCAGAGAATACTACATTACTTAGTTAAAAATGATCTCTCATCTGATGGTTGAAACTCTCAGAAAAGTTTTTCCTTCATCAAAGGCGAAAGTATATGAGAACTGCTACTTATATAATCAAACAGTAATATATATATAATCTCACCGTTCTGCTTGCTTTCTTGATTGTAATTTACTTCATGAAGTTGGTCATATATTGTGATCAAAGAAAATTGTGATGAGTTCTACCTTAAAAATGTCTAACATGAAAATGATTAGTCCGATTCTAATAAAATATATGTCTTTTGAGTGGACACTGGTTAGTAACTAATATCATCCAATATCAACAATTCAAAGTGTACCGTGATGGTGAGTCACATAGAATGGTAGCCACATTACAAACACGACTGATAGAATTCAGTCTGCACCAAAGAGAGGACTAGATGCATCACACTAGTTACTAGTGTTCAATCAAAAGTATCCAATACATTTCTACAGGAGGACAATTGGGGGCTCACGTAGCTCAGAGGTAACGTCTTTGACTGCAACAGTGGGTGACGCGGTTTCGAATATCAGAAGAGAAATGAGTTCCTTCAAGGCTGCAGATTCAGTTTGCTGACCAGTACAAAGTAGCACGAAAG